TGATTTATGGGAAAGAGTTGCCTCAGTTGGGTCAAAGTTGGAATTTCATAACGGTCTTGCTTTCAAGTGTTCTTAGTTCCATGTTCCATGTTTTTGCCAAGCTCCTGTTTGTGTACTGGATTTTTCATGCTGCCTTGTTTTATGGATTGCTGTTCCAATTGATGTTATTTTGCCTTGATGCTCATGGATGATCCTTTGTTTTGAGAATTTTCCTGTTTTTGCTAATTTTACTGCTTTGCCTACATATATTCTTCAATAAACTGCCTGCTGAGGTGTTCCTGCTCTGGTGTACAACAACAGTATTACTTCAAAAAGCCTTTGGTGTTTAAAACTGTTTTCAAAAATATTTATTTATTGGATTTACATCCTGCCTTTCTCCCAGAATGGAATTTTAATGGGCTTTTTACAAATTAGCTCTTTAAAATAGAGCTTAATCTGATTTTAAAGAATGTTTTTCTTTCTTTTATGGTAAGTCACTTTGGAAGACGCAGTAGGGCGAAACGTGATATGTCGATTAAATAAGAGTAATGCCTAAGCTCTAATGTATAAAAACATACATTACTAACTGCTAAATCAGGCATTTCATGGTCTTTTAGCCCCGAGGAATTTCTCTTATCTCTCACACACACATTTGGAGTCATACACGGTTTCCAAGGCCCACTTTTGTGTTTCTAGAAACCTTTCCAAACCTTCCAAATTATATTTTTTATTTTTAAAAATATTGTTATAACTATTATTATCTCTTTCTCAAGACCCAAAGCAGCTAGAATTGTTTTGATGATTTCCCACCCAAAATCAGACAAAAATGGAAGTTTTACTTATCCACTTTCCTGAGATTCCCAATGTGACAAACACCCCCAAAGTAAAACAAAAAAACCACCAAAACAAACTGATCAAAACAAAACGGAAGAACATGCAAGGTGGGAATGATGACATGTCACTTCTGGAGCTAAAAAAGGTCCCTCCTGCCCCTTCTCATGTCATTACCCACCCTGATATATACAGGACATCTGCCAATTGAACTGCAGAGATGACATGCTAGCAGCACCATTGAAAGTGAAAGTTCTCCTGGCAGACGACAGCAGACAACAGATTAGGGAAGCGTTATTATCATCAAAAGAAAAGTGTTACTGAAAACAGAGAAGTCCAGAAGATACCAAATTGCCCAATTCTTCAGTAGTTCCTAAATATTTCTCAACTTACCAGAATTAAAGTAATTACCAAATTCTAATGTTTCTTAAGCAACACAGTAAAACCTGTTCACAGTTAAATATATGACTTTATATACTCTCAAGACACCATCTCAAGTTCCCAGCAGCGAGAACTAAATGGGGTAATGAAAAGAGACCAGGAGTGTCTTAATGATGGACAAATTGGTATTATCTTATCATTGGCTACAATGTCAATAGTAGTATAGATAAACGAGGGAAGGGAATTTTGTTAACATTTAACTTGTGAAACATAAACATTAAAGGAAAGTGCTTCAGACCCTGGCGAGTCGCAGTATCAAGCAAGCATTCCGTTTCTGTATTTGAATTGAGACACTTGATAACAACCAATAATACGGGGCAATGTTAATTTGAATGAAATTGCTGATTTTCTTGTCACAGAAAGTACTAGGGGAGAGCATGTAATATCAGAACAATGGCTAGGAGCACGGAGTGGTGCAATGGGTTAAACCAGGGGTCCTCAAACTTTTTAAACAGAGGGCCAGGTCACAGTTCCTAAAACTGTTGGAGGGCTGGATTACAATTTGGAAAAAAAACAAACATGAATTCCTATGCAAACTGCATATATGTAATTTATAATGCAAAAAACACTTTAAAACAATACAATAATTGAAATGAAGAACAAATATAAATTTATTAGTATTTCAATGGGAAATGTGGGCCTGCTTTTGGCTGATGAGATAGGATTGTTGTTGTTGTGTGCTTTCAAGTCGTTTCAGACTTAGGTTGACCCTGAGCTAGGGCTGGGTAAACCTTGGAGGGCCGCATTTGGCCCTCAGGCCTTAGTTTGAGGACCCTTGGGTTAAACCCTTGTGCTGGCAGGACTAAAGACCGACAGATCGCAGGTTCGAATCTGGGGAGAGCGCGGATGAGCTCCCTCTGTGAGATCCAGTTCCCTTTGTGGGGACATGAGAGAAACCCCCCATAAGAATGATAAAACATCAAAACATCTGGGTATTTCATGGGCAACATCCTTGCAGACAGCCAATCCTCTCACACCAGAAGCAACTTGCAGTTTCTCAAGTCGCTCCTGACACGGAAAAAAAAGGACAATGATAAAGTCAAGTGAACATCACCTGTCGTGGCATGCCAGTGTTCACTGACTAATGTCAATTTTATCTTTTAACATATTAGAAGTAGGATAAAGAAAGCTAAAGATCTTGTAAAACTACAATTCTCAACAATCATAGCATTGATCCACAGCAGTTAAAATGGTGCCAAACTGCACTCATCCTACCTTGTAAATGCACCCTTGAAGGGCAGGTAGTTCTGATTGTAGGAAGCAAGCATGACTTTGTTCTGGCATTAGCTGTGTCACCCAATGAACTATCAGCCGTTGGCACACCATCAAGCTTCTGAAAATGACCTGTGCTCTGGTTCAGAACGCTGACCACTTGGCAACAATCCAGCACAGAATTAAACATGCTTAAGTCCACGAAGGGTTTTAAGTACGATTAGTTCTGAGTCAGGTCCCACAATTTCCTGCCACAGCCATGTATATACTTTAAAGCAGGCATGGGCAAACTTTGGCCTTCCAGTGTTTTAGACTTCAACTCCCACAATTCCTAACAATCTACTGGATATTAGGAATTGTGGGAGTTGAAGTCCAAAACACCTGGAGGGCCAAAGTTTGCCCATACTTGCTTTAAACATAGTTTGCTATAGTGACAGAAAGGAGATGTTCGGAAAACAGTTTTACCCAGGACTCCTTCACATCTGGAGCTGGGATAGATAAGGATCAGCAGCTCTGCAACAGCAAATTCAATTCTGTATCTGTGCAGGGTTTTTTAATCTATTTAAATTGACGCTGTTTTCTTTCTTCTCGAGTAATTTAGTTAAAAGGCGAGCTTTCTCTAAGAGGAAAATATCTGTCACTTTTTTCATATTAGTCAACGATGCTTGCAATACTCAGGTTCTGCTCTCAAATGGCCCCTTATTTGTTGTTATTGCTAACTGCATATAGTTCACTATAGCATAGAGTGTTATATCAGTGGAAATGCACTGCTTCGAGCTATGAACTACGGTTGTAACAGTTCTACCAATAACAAAAGAAAAAACAGAAGAATGAAATGTAGTAAGGATTTCAAACATTAATTCTTGGAAAATGGAAATCTCCATTACCTTTGGAGATTTTACGATCTTTAGAAAGGCATGACCTTGTTAGAAGTCATAACCTCTTGAAAATGATGCCATAACCTCTTGGTAAAAAGCATGACCTGTTATAGAGTCATAACCTTTTTGGAAAATGGCATTCATGCAAGGCAATTAAGTCTCTCAGCTGTTAAACTGATATGCCAACGCACAAAATACGCATGTACACACACACACACACACACATATATCACAGTTTCAGAAGTGTTATTTTTAGTTGCCCAAAAACACCTACTGTCCCTTAAAATTTCTTGGTTTAAATCATGCTCTCAAGAGACTAAAATAAGCAGACATCTTTAAAAGTAACACAGTTGGTTTACTCACAAACTTCATGTACTTTGCTTATCAATCCAGTTACAAATAGGATTTGAAGTAGTTTCTCTGTGTAGATAACACAGAGCATCATTCTTATAAACAACAGTCCATAATCTAAAGCATATCTCTGTTCTGAGTCTAATAGAGTCTCTGTCTAAAGCATACAGTTCTTGCTGGCGTCTGAAGGCAAAATTGTTTCTAAAATGGAGTCTGAGTCCTGAACAATCCCAGTTCTAATTACATGGTCTGTAGCCCCTCCCACAACAAAGAGTTGAAGGAAAACTTCAAACTAATACATACATATACAATACAGTAAGCAATCTGAATTATGAACATAACAAATAACTAGTGGAGGCTTGAAGAAGATTGCCATTTCCAACATTAATGAGGTCATATTGCTATCACAAGATGTGAAGGCCTGAAAGGGGGGGGGGGAATAAAAGCATATTTTGGGGGATTTTTTTTTCAAAACCTTTTCTAAAGGAAATGCTTGAAAAATGGATTGTGAAGTATTTTTATTTAAATAACTAATAAAAATGTTTAAGACATGGTGTTCCCATATTAGCTGGCCCAAAATAATTTCTAGGAAGTATGTATGATTACGTAGCGTATCAGATCAATAAAATCCCTGATCTCAGTTTCCTTGTATCAGTTCGCTGTATAGAAATGAGTGCATTATGCTTGCTTCACTAAGTTTTTGGCCTGCTCCTCAGACAGACATAACCAAAGAGGTTCCTTAAACTTTAGGTGCCTCTTACAGCTCAGGACCTTGTAACTCCAATTTGTAGGGGAAAAGAATAAAAAGTAGTCCAATTAATAATTACATTACTTTTTAAAATTCCGAATAGGTCAACATGGTATATCATTAAATGTATGTTCCTAATGAAACAAGTTAACTTTTAATCTGTGAGGGCAGGACAATAGTAAATCCTTCTCCCACCCCCCCCCCAAAAAAAACCCCTAAAATATCATGTTTTCCTGAAAAAATAGAGGGAAATACACATACAAACACACATCTGCTTTTAAAATTTCCAAAACTGGCAATAAGCCCCAGGTTCCATCTTCTAGTGGAATGACCCTGAATTCTGAAAAGCTACTGTTAAGCAATGTCACTGTAAATAATACTAAATGAACATATAAAGAAACTTCCTTGAAATCGTGACTCCCAAATATCTTCTGTCAGAGGGGGAAATTGGTATTTTTTTCCCACACCAATGCAATATGGCTGACACATTCCCACTTGACAAAAGGAGACTCCAATTAGAAATGTATCTTTGGTATTTTAGGAAAAATAAGCATACCTACCCTGCATTGTTACTGACGGCCGTTATTCCTTTCACACCAGTCTTCAACAGAGCGCCTATGAGGTTCTCAGGAATTCCACAAAGACCAAAACCTGGGCAATACAAATTATTTAAAAGTGAACATATATATTATTTAATGCACACACTGGCATCCATATGGCTGTGTCAAAGTGCAGGGCAAGGAAAAACCAGGCCACTTCTACAATGCCATATAATCCAGATTATCAAATCAGATAATCCACATTATTTGCTTTGAACTGCATTATACGAGTCTACACTGCCATATAATCCAGTTAAAAGCAGATAATCTGGATTTTATATAGCAGTGTAGAAGGGGACTCAAAGGGGGCTCTATCATATCATGGAAAAGATGAAGACCACCAACGTACAAATAAAGAAACAGAGCTTCTGTAAAAATTGAATACAAGAGGGAATTTCTACAAATGTAGCTTGCTGTGCAATTCTCTCTTGCACAAACTAGTACAGAAAAAGAAACCCGCCCTCTTTTTTATGTGTGCACAATACATTCTTCTGTCAGGAATGGTAATATGCACAGAATACTTGGAGATGGATAGGACCAATGAAGACTGGAGGTTATTGTTGGCTTGTAAGTCAACCCAAAATTTACCAACTCTTTCTTCTTTTTGTTGTTAACTGCTAGCAAGTTGACTTTGACTTATGTCCCTACGAATGTGAGACCTGCAAATCACCTTATCATCAACAGATCTGCTCAGGTCCTGCAGGGCTATGGCTTGAGTTCATCCAACTGCAATGTGTTCTTCCACTTTCCCTACCTTTTCAAGCATTAGTGTATTTTCTAGTAAGTTATATCTTCTCATGATATGTCCAAAGTACGTCAGTCTCAGTTGATCATTTTGGTGCCTAAGGAAGAACTCAATCTTGATTTGCTCCTAGCCTCATTTGACCAACCCTAATGAACATTTTAGCACAACAACTTAATTATGTGCATTGTGAAAGCAGGGGAGAAACCCAACTATCTGCTATCATCATGGATGGAAACTAAAAGTGTTTGAAGAAGGATATAAAGAAATTCAGTCAAGATGAAATGAGTTGTTTTACAACTTCTCCTTCTTTTATTATATAAACGCAAATTGCTGTTTTCCCATTCAACACTGTTCATGGCTTATTTATTTAGTGAACTATGTGAACTATGTACTGATTTCAACCTTCTAAAAGTACTGGCTAGCAACATCCTTTCCATGGCAATCAAACCATCTACACAATGTTTCTACACTTATCTTTCCAGGCTGTTCAACTTACAAAGCAATTGTCTTGGTGATGAAGTCAAGACAATTTACAATGCTAACAGCTTTTAAGAATTTTACACCCTATCATAAGAACATCACCAAACTTTTCCTACGAGCAATGCCTGTAAAATGTTATTTTATGCTTCCTTTTACCCTGAATTGCACATATAAAACTTTCAAGAGCAAAATGGGTTTTGTTGCCATCTATAAAAGATCGTTAAAATATAGACCAGAGCATCTGGACTACTACTAGAAAAGGCATGGGCAAACTTTCTAACTTGGAGGCCGCATGGCGGGCTGGATGGGCTAGGAGGGAGGGGGTTCTCCCCAAATCCCCTCCCTGCCCTTTCCTCCCCTTCCTCTTCTCTTCAATTTCAGAGGCAGAAAGTGAAGGAAAGAGGTGAAACGTTTGGATCCCAAAAGGGTTAGCCTTGATCAGGAAGAGATGGTGGATGGGAGAGAAAAAGTGTATTCATTAGACCCTGCATTGCCTTCTCCTAATATATAATCCTAAAATTCTAGGGCTGAAAGAGACTCCCGAGGACCATCCAGTCCAATCTCCTGGCACACAAGAAGGTACAACCAAACCACTCCCAGTAGATAGCCTCTGTGGAAAAGCCTCCAGAGAAGGAGACTCCATCACACTCTTAGGCAGCCTATGCCATTCTCCAACAGCTCTTACTATCAGGAAATTCTTCCTAGTCTTTTCAGTCAATTCTCTTTCCCTGCCAATTGAAACCATTGCTCCCCTGTGCCCTGGTAGCAAGAGCATCAGGAAGTCAGTTTTTCCCCTCCTCCTCCACAATGGGACACCCTTTGAAATCTTAAAACGTGGTTCTCATGTTCCTTCTCTATCTTCTCTTCTCTCAGCTAAACATCCCCCAGGAGGAAAGGAGGAAGGAAAAAGAAAAGGAAGGAAGAAAGGGAGGAAGAGAAGGATAGATGGATGTATGGATGGAATGAAGGAAGGAAAGAAGGGTGGAAGAGAATGGGGAGAGGGAAGGGAAGGAGGAAAGAGAGAAGGAAGGAAAAACAAAAGGAAGGGAGGGAGGGAGGACGAAAGGGTGGAAGGGAAGGAAGGTGGAGAGAGAGAGAGAAGGATAGGACGGTGAGAGAGAGGAGGGCCTGAGAAAAGAGCCCAAGGGGCCACATCTAGCCTTTAAGTCTGGGTTTGCCCATGCCTGTACTAAAATCTCCCAGCCAACATGGTCAGTACAGGCAGTTCCCAAGTTACAAACCAGACAGGTTATGTAGGTTTGTTCTTAAGTTGAATGTGTATGTAAGTCAGAACAGGTACTTTTTAAGTATAATTCCAGCCATACATACACACACACACACACACAGTTCCCATGTTATGAACAAGATAGATTCTGTGGGTTTGTTCTTAAAGTTGAATTTGCTTGTAAGTTGGAATAGGTATATTTTTAAAGTGTACCTCCAGCTTTGGATAGCACAGGAAAGGGTTAACTTCCTGTGGTGTTTGTTTTGCTGTGTGTGCCCCTCTTCAGAAGCTTTCACCTCACTTTCTGTCCATCACAATTAGATTTTGAAAAATGTGGTTTGTTGTGGAAACAACGATGATGAAGCTTCGGTGGAGATACTTTTTCCCCATGATAACTCTTTCAGGAGTGGTTTTCCCATCCGAGGAGTAGATTTCTCTCGCTTCCTGTTGTATCACCCTTGTTCTTAACTATGAGCCATTTGCAAGACAGATGTTTGTAACTTGGGGACTGCCTGTAGTTCTCCTTAGTGGTAAATATCGATTAATATTCATGCAAGGCAATATGTGTTTCTCAGCTGTTAGACTGATATACCTCGTTATCTCTTTGAACTGTTAGGAACAAAGATATGCCAATGCATAAAATATATAGCAAATCTTCAGAAGTGTTATTTCAGTTGCCCAAAAAAATTATCTACTTTCCTACAAAATATATTGCTTTTAAATCATGCTCTCAAGAAATAAAAAAATATCTTGTTAAAAGTTAACATAGTTGATTTACTTACAAACTTCATGACTTGAACATACAAGTACATTGCTTATTGTTTTCATGTTAACTGAATAATATATCAACTGTACTATATGTCAACTGACTGTAGTATACTGTACTACACATCAGCTGCAAACAGACTCATATATTAACTGAACATCTCACTGCAGCATACTGACTATACTCCTGCTCTAACTGACATCTACCAACTTCATAGCACTTTGGATGTGGAATTCGACTGGAATGGTGATACGGCTGACATTAATGTTCTTATTGTTTTAATTAATGTTCTGTTTATTGTTTTTATTGTTTTTATTGTGTTTGTTATATGTAGTGGTATCAAATTATTGCCAAGTGTAAGCCGTCCTGAGTCCCCCTTCAGGGGTTGAGAAGGACGGGGTAGAAATACTAGAAATAAATAAACACAGACTTTGAACTTCCAACTGACTCAAACCTCAACTGACTTCTGACTTAACTGAATCCAACTGACTTTCAAACGCATTCTAAAATGGACTCTCACTCTGAACATTCTAAGATCAGGGTCACATGGTCTGTAGTCCCTCCCACAATCTCTAACAACATAGAGTTAAGGGGGGAAACTGCATACCAGTATATACATACAATATAGTAAGCAATCTCAATTATATACACAACAAATAATGAGTATAGGAGGCTTGTAGAAGGTTGTTATTGGAAATAACAACCTTCTACAAGCCTCCTATACTCATTATTTGTTGTTCCAGGAAAGCAACAATCTCTGATCAGTATCCCCATTCCACTGTTCAGGCATTCAAAAAGGCCAGAAATTGTGCTACAGTTGAGAAAGTAAAGGGGCTTCATGCTTTTGTTAGGTTCTTCTGGGATATACTAAGTCTTGCTTTTGGATACTCTACTCAGAGAAGGGAATTATTCCTCTTTTTTCTTATTATAAGAGCTAATGTGTATTATTCACACTGACCCATTGATATGTTGACCCAATTTTAGGGGGTTTTTTAAAACAAAAGTTTCTAGACTTATGTATGAGCACACATGGTACTTTCTGAATATCCCAGCATTTCCATTATAACCTGCACCTTATGATTTACTGAATAACTTGAATAAAATTTCACATGATTGGTCTGCAGGTTTCACTGCCATTGCAGACTAAAAATAGGTACACACAGGGGAGCTTTGTGGACACAATCCTGCATTAAAGGCTGAAATGCATAACATTACAATAACAGAGCTAAATTGCTGAAATAACACACATCCATGCTATTGAACTGTGATGGTGTACACAGGGACACTGTGGAAGATGCCGGTGCCAACTTCTTGAAAATACAAGTCATGCACAGTAGCACAATTCAACTTTACTTGAATGTAAGTCGGTTTATGATGATATTAACTATCCAACAAGATGGCAGCCTTTATCATTAATTTTATTTCTATGTCAACTCTCTTAGAATACTTCATATGTATACAAGGGGAGATCTGTACTTAGATTCAGGCCCTCCAACCACCTTAAACCAGCCGGGAGAAGAGCAAGAGATCCCTGTACTTACCACCAACAAGAAGTGTGGCCCCATTGGGTATGTCTTTCACAGCTTCCACTGGATCTGTATAAAATTTGGTGTTGTGACAGTTGCTGGTAGAAAAATAGCAGCCACAATTCTAGAAAAAGAAAAATAAGGAGGAAAATGTCAGGTACAGTATTATGCCCTTAATTGCAATACAATATCTGTCGTTGGTGGTTACAACTAATGCAGTGAATACAGTGCCATTATTCTACAAGGGCTTGGGAAGGGACACAGGATTTGACACTGAATTCCCCAAGAGTCTAATCTTTCTAATTTTAGAAGGAATGTTTTTAATCCATACAGCTCCAAAATATAGCAACTCTATATGAAAAATTGTGCAAATGTGTTCCCTCTTTCAGTGAGGATACAATATCCTCATTTGATTAAATGTAAGTGGACACTAGGCAAAAAGAAACAGTTATCATAAAAAAAGTCAAGCATATAAAGAAGGGACCCATGAAGGAACCAAATGAGGGGAGTTCGAGTGCTATGTAATCTATCTAGAACAGTGGTTCCCAACCTTTTTTTGACCAGGGACCACTTGAACAGGGATCACTCTCCAACATTACTACCAAAAGGGTTACAAATCAGTTTTTGGCCAACTTTACATTTGGTCTAGCTATTTGGGGTGCTGATTCAGAAAACTGCATTTAATCGATCACATCAGCTCTAGTTTCTGATAGAACAGGGGTCCTCAAACTTTGGGCCAGGTCAGAGACCCTCAAAATGTTGGAGGGCCGGATTATAATTTGAAAAAAAACATAAATTAATCCCTATGCACACTGCACCTATCTTATTCGTAGTGCAAAAAACACTTAAAAGCAATACAATAATTAAATGAAGAATAATTTTAACAAATATAAACTTATTAGTATTTCAATGGGAAGTGTGGGCCTGCTTTTGGCTAATGAGATATTTTTGTTGTTGTTGTGTGCTTTCAAGACTTAGGTTGACCCTGAGCAAGGGCTAGGTAAATGACCTTGGAGGGCCGTATCCAGCCCTCGGGCCTTAGTTTGAGGACCCCTGTGATAGAGCATATGCCATCCACTAGTCGCCATCCGCTCGCCCACAGAAAACCGTATTTAATAGTCTAGAGCTGATGTAGTAGCAGTTATCTTTCATGGGTAGTCAGCCTCTCCCCTCCTGACATCTCCGTTGCCTCAGCACTACAAGAGTTTCGCAAGACCAGTTGCTCTCATTGCCATGTGGTTTCGAGGCAACAGTATAGCAATGGTTAGGCTGTGGACCATATCTTCGTTCCTGCGGACCATTGGTGGTCCATGGACCACAGGTTGGGAATCACTGATCTAGAATGAAAACCCTATTTAGCAGAATAGCAAAATATCAAAGAGGACACCAACTGCTGTTAACGATATACAATAGGAGTGGATAAGCAGTTCTGGGAGCAAGAGCCTTTCAAAGAGTTGGCTACCTTGCCAATCTTAAGTTTGTTAATTGATTCAATGATTGGCCAAGAAGGTAGATAATTCACTGGGCATGCTAATTATGAAAGAGATTAAGATTCTGCAGTGTGTAAGTGTCTTCCAGGTGCTGGTGTTTTAAGGGGCATGACTCTAGTTTTGTTCAATAGGATAGAAAACAAAAAAGTATGAACTAATGGTGAATGTCGAAATTATTGCGCCAAGTAGATAAACCAAAACTTCTATTACTATTTTTACAGTATCCTGAAAACCAGGATACTACATGAGTACAACAGGGAAGAATTACAAATATCAATACTCTTAAGCAACTAAAATGTTGTAAACTTAGATTTTTCTCTGTCACAAATGCCACAATTGTGACATCTAGGATCAGTAAATCAGGTCACATTTTTTCAGCAAAGAGAACAGTATCTTAACAGACATCTTAAGCAACTTCTGGGAAATGTCTCTTTTGCAGACATTCAAGAGCAAGGGTGAACGGATTTCAAGTTTCAATACAACGTCCAAGATTCACAAACTAGTTGAATATATTATGTGTCTCTTTATTTTTATAGTCCACCCTTCCTGACCAGAAGAACAACTTTAAGCCTTACAAAAAGAACCCCTAGTGATTCAATCCTTAAAAAGCCTACTTCAAAGTAACTTCCACTAATTGAGAAATTGTTTATTTGCAGTGCAGGTTGCAATCTTTTGTACACAATGGATTTCCACTGAATTGCTATGAAACATCAGGAGGAAGGTGTGTTTACATTCATGTGCTGTTTAGACATCTGACTGGGAGGAAAATATTGAACAAGAGGGTCTTCTGGTTTGAAACAGACAAGCTCCATTTTTGTTTACATGTCATAAAGTCATATTCTAATGCAAAGCTCTGTCTGCAATTGTCAATAGGATTGCAGCTACAAAGAGTCCAAGAAGATCTAAACAAAACGATATGTAGCATTTCTTGAAAAAAGCCTGAGATCTGCAAATGTACGAACAAATTTCTAATAATGTAAGTGAGAAAATGCTTCCAAAATGATCGAAAGAGATCCAAGCGTGGTTAGTAGCTATACCAAGAACAGCAATGACTGGAAATTTGGCACAGAAAGTTAAAAGGTAAGTGAAATCTTGAACCTGATTTGCAAATTGGGTATTTACACAGATAAGCAATAGCAAACATGAAGAAATCTTCACAAATAAATGCAATGGGAGCTTAAATAGCATCCCTTACTAAGACGTTTCTGTCAATATTACACATATGATATTTTAAAAAGAAAAGGTATATACTATACAGCTGTGGACAAGTCTACATAGGGACCACCAAATGCAGCATTGCCCAAACACAAATCAAGGAACATGAAAGGCACTGCAGACTAATTCAATCAGAGAAGTCAGCAATAGCAGAGCACCTGATGAACCAACATGGACACAGAATATTATTTGAGAACACAGACATGATGGACAACTCTAACAACCACCATGTCAGACTACACAGAGAAGCCACTGAAATCCACAAGCATGTGGACAATTTCAACAGAAAGGAAGAAACCATGAAAATGAACTAAATCTGGCTACCAGTATTTTAAAAAAACTCTTTAAAAAACTCTAAAATCATAATGGTAAATAAAGGACAAAATTCAAAAACAGGGGAACTCCAGACAAGAAACAATCAGGGACAGCTAATCACCTCTCAACAAAGGCTGCTTCCAGGCAGTAAGAAGCCAGACCTTGAAAAGTGCTAGACCATTTAATGCTAATCAATGTGGCCAATTGAAACATTCACAACTACTTCCAACAGACAGTTCTTTCTCCCACCCTGGACATTCCACAGATATATAAACCAAATTTTCCTAATTTTCAACAGACCTCACAATCTCTGAGAATGCCTGCCATAAATGCAGGTGAAACATCAGGAGAGAATGCTTCTGGAACATGGCCATACAGCCTGAAAAACTTACAGCAACCCGGTGAGCTAACAGTTTGCTCTCCATGGCACATGTCCTATTTTATCAACATTGGCATAAAAACTTAAGTACCAAGCAACCAGTTCGTCACCTTTTCTTTGACAAGGACACATTTCTGAGTTAAACAAATAGTACCAACAAAATGAAAGAGTTTTTATGATTTCACAGAGTTAACTAGACTGTAATTCATTCTGCAACACAACTGTTTTGTTGTTTTTTACTCATGTACATATACTACATAAACAAATGATGGTTGCTCTCATGGTAACTGTGACTGTAAATCCCCAAATGAACCAGTGCAGGCTCTAGGATCTGATGGGGAGGCCCTCCTCTCGTTCCCACTACCTTCACAAGTACAGCTGGTGGGGACAAGGGAGAGGGCCTTCTTGGTGGCAGCCCCCTGACTTGGAACACCCTCCCAGGGTGATTAGGCAAGCCCCTACATTGTCCTCCTTTCATTGGGATCTTAAAACCTGGATGTTCCAACAAGCATTTGAGAATGACTAGTCCCTACTTATAAATGCCCAGTCCCTGGCCCATAGTACTCTGCTCTCTGTACTTCTAATTCCCCGGCCCTATACTACACACTGTGCCAGGCCTGGTCCTTTTTATAGCCTGATCATGCCCATCTTAGTACTTCTGGTTATTGGTTTCTTGCTTGTGTAGTGATTGAGTAAGTTTTAAGGCTGCTGTTTTAATTATATTTTTTTGTTTTTAATGGATTGTTTTGTGTTGATGTTTTGTGGACATGTAAGCCACCCAAGTCACTTCAGGGAGATGGAGGCGGGGTACAAAAATAAAATTATTATTATTATTATTGGGTGGATCCCACTCAACACACACAATTCGAGCTTGTTAACTGCACCGTTTACACTTGTTCAACTGACAATGGTTCTTTTCTCCCACCCTGGACATTCCACAGGTGTATATACACCACTTGCTTTACCACCATCAGATCCTCTGAAGTTGCCAGCCACAGATGCAGGCAAAACATCAGGAGAAAATGCTGCTAGAACACAGCCATACAGTCTGGAAAAACACAACACCTCAGTGATACCGGCCATGAAAGCCTTTGACAAAACATTAAACAAATTATCATTAGAATTATCCTTTAAGCTTCTGCAAGTATGAACTTTCCCAAACCAATTATTATTCATACATAAAGAAACTAATAACTGGATGCTATCAAGTACTTATACCGCAATAAAGGGACTTGCTGCTAACTGCATCTCCCAGCATTCCTTATCATTGGCCTTGCTGGCTAGGTCTACTGAGAGGGTAGCACAATTCGCATCTCTGTTATAAAGCAAATGTGAAAAACCTCTGATACAAGTTCTCTCTATGATGCAAGAAATTAAGAGGCTTCAGCATGCCTGGGAAAGAACACAGGGTTCACTATGGCAAAGAGCGGAGACATGGGGAAGTTTTTAACAAAAACATATGAAAGAAGTACTTTTATTATGTACTAGCCATCCCCTGCCATGCATTGCTGTGAATATGTGTTTTGTGTATATTTGTGTATATGTGTGAGTATGGTTTTGTGCATGCGTTGTAATATATATTTTTGGTTTTTTGGCTTTTAAAGTATCTTCTCCTGTGTTTTCTAGTAATTTTATAAGTGATGGTCACTCGTTGGCCTGATACGTGTATTGTGTCCAAATTTGGTGTCAATTCATCCAGTGGTTTTTGAGTTATGTTAATCCCAC